ATATATATGTGTATACTAAAGCAGGGGTTCTCCACTTTTGGTGGTACCACTAATGAAATGAACTTCATCAATATGACAAGAACAAAGTGCAAATGTTTGTCATTACATTGAAAGACTAACTATAAAGCCTCACCCGTGACAAAAAGAAAGAATCGCTGTGAGCTCTCATGGCCTCTGATCTGTACTTCATAAAGTCCAGCGTGTTCAGTTCTGGTGTTTGTGATGGTCAGAGATCCGGTCTGATTCAGCTGCAGTCGATCTTTGAATCTCTCATCAGCATCATTTAATGAGGTCTCTTTAGTCTCTACATCGAGTTTAGCCAGGAGGATGCCTTTATCTCCAAACCTCCACACTATCAGATCATCTGTGTGCATTTCAGCATCAGTGTGTAGCGTGACAGAATCTCCTTCCATCACTGACAATGATTTCATTCCATCCGTCTCATTAACAATACCTGGAAAAGAATCAGATCATATTTGTGATTGAGTGGAATGCACTGAGGTTGGAAGTGGGACATATCAACTTAAATCAAGATATTTCCACCACAGACTTCGTCTGTAATGTAATTCATTAGATTTACAATGATCTAACAGTCATCTAAACAAGACTTGAGATACCCACCAAAGACAGTAACACTAAATATTTTGGTCGTAGTCTTTTCTCTAGAGATAGTTAGTTTATATTGTCCAGAGTGTGTGATCCTTGTATTTCTAATAGTGAGAGAGCCAGTTTTTTGATCCACTTGCAATCTGCCTCTGAATCCCACATCATCGGTGACAAAAAATGAGGTCAAATCGTTCTTTCTTGTTATTTGAGATATGACAAATCCTTTAGGTCCAAACACCCACAGTAACGTATCATCGTTCTTTATTTCACTAACATCAGTGTGTAGAGTGACGGAATCTCCTTCCATCACTGACACTGACCCTGTTTCATCTGCACCAGACACACCTGCAGAATATAAAAGAACAGTTACAGATATAGATTAAACTCACTAATACCACATTAGTAAGCGGATTCAACTGAAAACAGTGTGTGAGACAGATATGGCATTGCATTACTGTACTGATTATGTAAGGGAAAAATGTGAAACCCAATCATAAACGATGATTTAGACGCTCATCTACTTGCCTGTATATGCATCATCAATGTGTATACTGAATTTTTATCCAGTATCACCGTCTTTTTGCATTAATAAGCTTTAGGCTACGTTTCTCTCGCTGAGGTGGATACGAGATGAGGATGTGCGCGTGAACGTAAATACTTCCCTAATTTTCCAGCATTTTTTCAGATGCGATTTCCCATGAAGCACTTATTAAAACGTGTACCATATTATCTATAAATGCTGTATGGTTATTAGACGCGTTGTTACTTCCCGCATTTGTCAAACAGCTGTGAAAACTGAAAGATTCATATAGCCTACAACTTACCTTCCATAAATAATAATAAAAGAGAGAGCAATAACGTGTTCTGCATGTTGTTATAGAGCTGTGTCCGAATGTAATAAAGATGATCAGTAGAGACTGTTTCTATTCTTCTGTTTCAATGGGTCTCCGTTATGTTCTTCATTGCTGAGCAGCGCCCATATACTACCAAATGAAGTGTGAATAACTCACAAAATACTCTCTAAACTCGAAACGTTACAGACGTTACTCCAGACTTTATTCCAACTGAGAATCACGGCTTTTCTCAAATATTATTCGCTTAAAGGGGACACGGTAAATTTATCCTTAAAAGAAAATCTGTGACGAGCAGAACACACAGGGACGCGTGGTAAACTCAGAGTGGGCGTGTCAGCAGCGTGTTGAAGCTTGTAGCCTCGTATCTTCATCAATCTCTAATGATATTTTTTATTTACAGAGTCATGAGAAATATAGTTTGTAAGTACAGTCTTAAATACATTCTACATGTCTGACAAATTTAATTATATGCAGTCGTGTTTGTTAAATATGCATGGTTACCAATAAAATAGCTAAATAATTATAGAAACGTTTATGTTTTTTTTTAATTATTTTTATTAAGTATTTATGTAGCCTACATATTCACTGTCAACGACCTTTTTTGGGGGGGGGGTCCATGCTTTTGTTTTGTTCACCCTGTGTTTGTGGTGTCTGGTTGGTAAGTTAAAAATGTGTTTTATGACTACTAAAGTCTTGTTAGCTATTATTCATTTGTGGGCTTAAGTCATTTATTTGAAGGACTTCTGTTTTATAACACTGATCATTAATTACACAAATTGAAATCAATGTTATAATGTTCAACATGACATGCATTTAGCTCATTTAAGGTCATTTTGACAGTATAAAATTAAATTTGTCATGAACCAGTATAAAAATTAAATTAGTCAATGAACCAGTCAGGTCAGCTCAATAAGATTAAAGCCGTCTGATCCACAGATAATTGTTTTATTCTGTTTGCACATCTGCCTGTTGAACTGTTTGTCCCATCTTTTATTTTGCATCTTTAGTGTTTCTACTGCTGTCTTGAACTTTTTCCATTTCAAATCTAATCCCAGTTTAAAGTTCACTGCAAACCATTCATTCATATTAGTAGAAAATGTCCACATAATACAGACCTAAACTGTAATTTAATTTGGTCATTAAATAACATTATCTTTTTGGGGGGCCTTAGTCTGTGACAAAACATGTTCCTGATTGTTCTCCAGGTGTGTTTGGTGTTGATACAGAAGAAGTGAAGACAATATCAGTGATGAAGGGAGAGTCTATCACTCTAAACACTGATGTTACTGAAGTACAGAAATATTTGTTAATACAGTGGAAGTTTAGAAGCACTCGAATAGCTGAAGTCAACAGACTCACAGAAACAAACTCGACGTATGATGGTCCTGATGGGAGATTTAGAGACAGACTGAAGCTCGATAAGACTGGATCTCTCACTATCACAAACACCAGCACCACAGACTCTGGACTTTATCAACTAAACATTGTGAACCAAGAGACCAGCTACATGAGTTACAATCTTACTGTCTATGGTAAGAGAATCACAGTATAATTTGCCCTTATGTTGAATTATATCTTTGGCATTGTGATATTTTAAAATGTCCTATTAATTTCAAAATTCCTTTATGATGTCAATGGCTTTAATTCCATTTGGGGGAAAAAAATAGTTAAAAATTAAAATCTGCACTAGTCACAGATATAAACACAAAAAAACACATCAGGGCTGCACAATTATTGTTACATAATTTAAATTACAATTACAGCTGCTCTGATTAAGAAACTGAATTAAACTACTAAATGAAGTTAAAGCAGTCTGATCCACAGATGAGTGTTTTATGTTTCACTTCTGTTGGCACATGATAGTGAATGTTGAAGAAAACTCACACTGAACTCGTGACCTTTCATTGTTATTCATCTTTTATAAGATTTAAAGTCTTAAAATCATTCAACATTTATATAAAAGAAAACGTCTGCAATACCGATTTAAATAGTTAAACTTTTAAAATAAAATTCATGACACCTTGTGTTTTTTTTTTCATTCATTTCATTTTTTCATTTTTTTTCTTTTCTTCATTCTTTCATTCAAATGCAAAAATGTGTTTATTTGTGAATGGCCCCATAGTCTGTGACAAAAAATGTTTCAGTTTGTTCTCTAGATGTGGCACGTGAAATTAAGTCAGTATCAGTGATGGAGGGAGATTCGTTTACTCTACACTCTGATGTTACTGAAACACAGAAATATTTGTTGGTACAGTGGATGTTTGAACACACTCAAATAGCTGAAGCCAACATGCAGACTAGCTCTACATATGATGGGAGATTCAGAGACAGATTAAACCTGGATCCGACCGGATCTCTGACCATCACAAACACCAGAACCACAGACTCTGGACTTTATCAACTAACAACTGTCAGCAGAGAAACCAGCTACATGAATTATAATGTTACTGTCTTTGGTGAGCAGAAAATTACAGCATAATTTGCCCTTCGTCTGAATTATATCTTTGTCATTGTAATATTTTAAAATGGTTCTTTTCAATATTCCTTAAATCCATATTTTATTATATTGATGGGTTTAATTCCATTTAAAATGACATCACTGCAAAGTTCCCTTTCATGGGAACTTCGAACTGCGTCCTCTAGGGGTCGCTATGGGGAACGCCTCGTCGTGACCCGTGTCTGAAGCATACATTGAAAAAACACCAACTCGTTGGCCGGCAACAGCCATGACGTCACTACCGGTGCGACTATAGTATAAATAGGCGCCGGGAGCACACATCATTCTCTTCTTCGTCTTCATTGACTGTTTTGTTTGAAGCGTGCATTTCTGTGGTAAGAGCGATCTCTATTCATCTCATTATGGCGAGCACTAGCAAAGCATTTAAGGATGTGTGCATCCGTGTTGACGTTGTTTAACATCTGATGACACACACGATCTATGCGTTATTTGTTTGGGCGAAGAGCACGCACACGATGCCTCCGAGGGGGCAATCGGCGTGCACGAGAGTATGCTGAGTATGCACGAGAATGCTGAGGCTCCCTCACCTTTGAGGGTTGTATTTGAGCTTGTCTCTCCCGTTTGGCTGTGAACAGATGCTTGGAAAACTCTAAAATCCAAATAATATGGTAAGTGCACATGTTAAGCTTTGTAAGCATCGCTCCCCTCACCAGTGAGGGTTATTGTGAGTATGGTGTTTCTTTCGAGCGTTAATCGTCTCTGAGAAGTTGGATTCCTCGCTCCATGGGCTGTCCTTGTGGTTGTATTGAGCAGTGCTCCCCATTTTTTTTTTTTTTTTATCAAAGGGTTACCTGGAATGAGCAACGCT